TACCACGGAATTATCTCATAAAAATGGATTTGGAGAGAATTCCGTGAGGGGAAAAAAAAACCAGAGAGAGAGAGAGAACGCAAGGGCATTTCAATGGGATTTTGGCGTCAATAGATTCTCTGATGGAATGAATTTATGATAACATCTCAAGCAAGGAGATGATTATTTCATCATAGTTCTCACATGTTCAACCCATGACAACTTCTAAAGGATAAATAGAGTACATTAAAGCAAGTCGCACAAATTGTTGTGTCCCGATAACTGCATCATGATCACATTGTCAAAAGAAACATATATATGCATCTACTTGAAGAACTCCATAACCCAAAAGTTTCGGACAAAGCGATCAAATCTAATGCCTCTAAACCCAGCGGATGTGGCCAATTTCGTGAATTCACTCTCTGTTCTCTCCTTGCCACCTTGGCTACAAGTCAACATCATCACATCACTTTGGGCAATGCTTTTCGCTGCAGCAGAAGTTTCTGATACAAATGGTAAAACTGCCTCCACCACAATCACCTTTCCATCTTTAGGAATGGCGTCATGGCAATTCTTCAACAGCTTCAAGCACCATTCATCGCTCCAGTCATGAAGTATCCACTACCAAATTTACCCCAACAAAGCCATATTTAACCTCTAATTGTCATTTATTATATACATACATACACACACACACATATATATATATATATGCGTGTGGGTTGTGTGTGGGGAAAAATTATAAATAAACCCCAGTTAAAAGATTTATTTATAGATACAATTGCTCTTGAACTCATCTCATTTGACTAAAGTTGACCAAGTTAATGATTGATAGCTAGCAGCCAAGTCAAAACAATAATGCTTAAAATTTTTTATTAAAATATTAATACTTTGATATTTAGAAATCAAACATGTAGCATATTTATGAGTTAAATTTCTTATATTTACAAGTCAAACGATAGGTCACTTATAATTACTTGTAAATCTATTTATATAACTTTGATTTATAAATATTAACATTTCAGTAAAATTATTTTTGACTGGTCAATGCTTGCCATTAACAAGTCATGAACAATAACAAAAAGCCTTATCTCATAAGGTGGGGTCAATTGTTAGTAAGTCAATGTTAGTAAAATAAAGAAAAACAAGGGGCATATGTGATATTTCAAGCAAAATTTATCCTAACAAATTAAAGCCGCACCTAAAATAATTAACCTCTCATTGTGATTAAATATATATTGATAATATAACATACTAACTACCTTCATGAAGATGGCATCTCCTCTCAGCACGCTTTCAAACATATCTCCTCCTACGTGTTCCACTCCTGCAACGTTATTACAATCAATGATTTAATTAATTAATATGATTACTTGGTTTGAAATGTCAAAGTAATTAATTAGGTCATACCAGGATAAGAAGGCGCATGTTGAATGACATGAGGCAAGTCGAAATTGATTCCTTGAATGTTCGGATATTTGGATGTGATCAACTTGAGAGTAATCCCAAGACCTCCACCAACATGAGTCTAGTGATGTCCCCAAAACCTTGGCAGGATTCAAGAATATTGTTCATAACTATAGTGCTATGATTCATCATTGCTTTGTTAAACATATGGTTGGCTCTGGAGTCCAATCTCAGATACTCAAAAACATGTGATCCATGGACCCTATTGAATGAAATACCCCCCTCCAAAATAGCATCTTTCAGTTGGGACCTTAAAAATGTTCATATTGTTAATATAAGATATATATATATATATATATATATATATATTCTAAATTTACAGCAAATTGTGCCTCTTTTAACTATTCATGAATAATCTGATTCATCTTTTAAATTCGCATAATACTCATCCATTCTATTGGATTTCTATAATATCACAATTAATTTTCATGCATTTATATATGTGTGTGTGTGTGTGTGATAATTAAAAATAAAATAAAATAAGTCCAAAAAATTCAACGTATAATCTTTACTGGTCAGCTATCTTTACATTGAATGACGTAGATTTTGAAATTTCGTCAATTAACAAAGGATTAAGAATATAAATTTTAGAATAAATTTCGAATACGAATTCTTAATTTGAGTACTGGCGATAAAATGATATTAATGAAGAAGAAAATAAATCTCGTGTATAATATTTCACTGCAGCACTGCTGAATAACCGTGAACAAACCAACTCAACAAATGTACAGTTCGTCACTTTAGATCAAAGCTATATGGACAAATGAAATTGGAGATGATGTAGTTGTGCGTTTTCAAGACGATGAAATAAACTTTTTGTCTATGAAATTTGTTTTGATAGTCGATTTGATCCTCCCAAATTTAATTTTTATCAATTTGATCTCTTATTTCAATTATTAATATAATCCTTATGATTTAAAAAGGTGGTAGCAATGTTAAAATCAGCGATGTATATTAATTGAAAATATGTGTACTTTTACATAATATAAAAAGATTATATTGATTTGAAAGCTAATTTAATTTTATTTAGCTACATATACGACATATCAAGATATTAATATACTTTATATATCAAATTAATTTGAGAGTCAATTTATATTTTAAAATATGAAAAACTAACATTATAATTTAAGAAAATATTTATAATTAAATTGATAAAAATTAAATTTGAATCACTAAATTAACAGCTAAGACATATTTGAATGACTAAAATGTTTAATTATCACTATATTTTTTTATTTTTTATTTTTATTTTTTTTATTTTTGGTTATAGTTGTAGAGATTTACTTTTCTTGCTTTGTATCCCTCTACTACCCAAATTATAAGATACTTTTGAACAAAGTCTCACATACTAATAAACCTAATTAAATATGCTTAACCATCTTATTTTTTTCAAAACAAAAATATTAACTTTTAAAAATATTCTTCATTTAATATATTGAAAATAAACATAGATATAAATTGAATAGAGAAAGAGAAATAGGAGTATTAAAATAAGCCTATTTCATAAAATTTTAATCTTTTTAAAATACTTTATATTGTGATATCAAATCTATCTCAAAAATGTCTTCTGATTTGAGATGGAGGGAATAATATTTTATCATTAAAAAAAATCATAGACGCATAGTTCCATGAACAGGGGGAAAAAAAGAGGAGTGCCTAAAAAATACTGACTAACCAGCCATCCAGGAAGACCTTATCATGAGCCACTTCAATAAAGGGAACTAACGATGCACCATCCGCATTTCGAAAGAAGAATTCGGCCACCGGAGAGAGGCTGTACAACCGCCTGAAACATCCCGACCCTCGATTCTCATCGCCGATAACGGAACAACAAAGAACAGAATGAGACGCTAGAAGATGGAGGTGTCGATCCAGTGCGGAAGCTGCTTCTGGGTTCTTGCAAGAAAGCTCCGACGCGATCTCAGCGGCGGACATCTCGGTGCCGGGACCAGCTCTATGAATGACGTCAAACACATTGAGCTGCACCGCCGTTTGTAGCGCCATGGAAATCGCAATAGATGTCACGAGCTGCATGGCATGTGAGAAGCTCTCTTCTTCTGGTGATTGCTTGTTGTTCTCCGGGTTGATAAGAGCCTTTGACGGAGAGTGAGATTCCTGTGGTTGAGCCATCACGGTTCGAACTAGGAAGTTGAAGGGAGAAATGAATAATGAGAGAAAGAGCTCGAAGAATAGGTAGATCTATAGAGCTTTCAATGATGAATACTTGGTATATATGGGGGAAGATAGGGAATAGAGAAAATCATAAAATTATATGTTTATCTTCCATATCAGCACTGTTTTTAATCATCCAGATTTTAATCTACGATCAAGTTTTTAGGTATTTACTTTAAATTTATTAAAATAAAAATAATAAAAATTATATCTAAATCTGTTTCAAAACCAGTTTAAAAAGTTTTTTTTTTTTTTAATTGATGTAAAAAGCCAAGTTTTTTCACTTGTGGAGGGCACAAAATATTTAACAAGTGGACCCATACATTCATTATACGAGCGAAGAAGAGAATATAACTTTATATATACATGAGCTTAAGGAAGCAAGAAATTGACTGTTTGATGTTTTTTTAATGTCTGAAATAGCCATAGGAAGCATATGGACTGCTTCCACTTTGGTTCTTTGATTCCAATTACAGATCAAGCAAGGACGATGCATATCCCGAAGCAGTAATTAATATTGAGAAATTAGAATGGCGTGAGAGTAATAGTGAACTAGTAATAGAAAGAAAAATAAAAGTGGTATTAGTGGAAGAAGACGACATGGAAAGAAGAAGTTCATGAATGTGGATGCTTATTGCTTTTCATCACCATCGACTAGGCTCTGTTGCATAATAGTGACTTAATATTCTTCTAAAAGAAGCCAGCTACTTGGCTTCAAGTAATAAGTAATTTTAAGTAATTTTATTTAATATGTTCCCAAAAAGAATATGGAAGGATTTTTCATCAGCCGAATGAATTTGTTCTTTTGCATTGAATTATCCGATTTAAGTCACGAGGTGGGGATTGACAGTAGACAGCAATATACATATATGGTAGAGACTGTGTGTGTGTGTGTGTGTGTGTGTACGTATTAGGCGTGTAGAAGTTACTTGGTCGATATATAAGACTTGTCATATATAATTTTTTTGGCCTGAACTTATCATGTATAATAATTGAACACTATCATCTCCATCTAAACAAGTTAGGATGATTTGAAATGACCAAGATCGAATTAATTTAAGGACCATTGCATGCCTGGCCCCACACGAACCCACCCAGCTATTATATATATATATATTTGAAAAAATTAATTTTAAATTTTGCTCGAAAGTTTTTTTTGAAAGAGTAATTAGTACTCTAAACTTTCTATTAGCAGAATATTTTTGAGTTATTAATGTTCAAATCAAAAGAAAAATCTAACAACCCATTATTATTGTTAAAAATAGGTCATATCTATTTTTTTCATAGATAAGGCTAGCATAAAGCTATAAGTGTTCAAATACACAAAAGCTTGGCAATCAGATGGATTTTACCCCATTCTTATCAGCCAAAAGCAAGCATTCACATCCAAAGGGAGCTACATTAAGCAAAGAAAAGTCATTGGGACAATCATGAGCCATTTTGGCTAAGAAATCTGCACAAGTTGTCCCTAGGAGTATATAAGATTCTATAATTATCATGAGAGCATATGGCTTCCTGTATTTCATAGATAGCTTCAACAAAGGGATGGCCAGTGTTAACACCCCTGTAAATCAGATTAATTGCCTCTAAGGAATCAGAATATATCACAGCTTTCTCAATATTAAGACTGGAACAAAGCCTTAGCCCATTCTTAATAGAATAGACTTCAGATATAGTAATTGGCAAATTTCCCAAATTACTCATAAAACCTTTCAACCAATCTCCTGTAGAATTTCGGGCGCATGCTGCACTACTCTGTTGATACAATGAAGCATCTACATCTATTCGTATAGTACCTTGTGTTGGGGCCACCCAAATGGAAGGTTGAGCAGCATCCATCATAGGCCTATGAATCTTTAGATGTTCAAGATCTCTTTCTTCCATTAGCCTTCTTCTACACATCTTGATGATCTCTTCAGAGGTGTGATTGGTGCCTTCAAAGATGAATTTGCATCTATTTGTCCATAACAGCCAGCATACATTTCCAAAGACTTTAATCCAAGGCCAATTTCGAAAAGAGCTACCTCCAATCTGGTGATCCAGTCCTGCAAGCTACACAAAAAGAAGCAATCATAATAAACAGGATTTATATGTGTTTTGCTCTCACACTACCTCCTAGCTTATCAATTAATGATCTGAAGGTGTTAAAATCTCCCAAGACAATCCACGAAGTAGAAATTCCAGAGGCTAAAGTTTCCAACTGAACCCACAAGCTACGTCTTCGTATTTCATAAGGTTCACCATAAATGAAAGAAGCAAGAAAGCTTTCATGGGAAGCTAAATTCGTGATTTTACAGTGAAGAACTTGAGTACTAGACCAGCAGTAATTAATTAAAAAATCACTTCTGTTCTATAAAACCCAAATCCTCCCTACAAAACTCGTGGCTTCCACCCTGATCCAGTGTGTAAAACCCAGTTTTTTGACAATACAATCAGCTCTGTGTCCACTAATTTTAATCTCCATCAAACATAAAATATCTATTTTGTACTTCCTGACCATATCTTTGATTATATTAGGAAAAGCCTTACCTCCGGCGCCCCGATAGTTCCATGATGATAAAATCATAAAGAAACATATAAAAGGAAAAGGAAGAGCAAACATTACTACGTTCGCGACCCTTTCCTAATGGGTGTCATCGAGTTGCCCTGCTGCATCATAGTAGCTCTCTTCTCTTCACTTTGCCATGTCAACATCCCCTGTTTCTACCCCATGTTTTTCAGATCTGGAGGCTTCGGTAGATCTTGCCTCTGTATGAGCATAGTAGATTGGGTTGACGTTGGTGTTGACATTGGAGGATCCGCGTTGTTTACATCATCCTTCAGATTAGGCATATCATTGCCACTTATTCCAGTAGCAAGTTTTCCTGAGGTTTGGCCCAACTTAGTTACGTTACCCATAACAACAGAGTGGGTTCTCGTAACCCTTTTTGGAGTCTTGGGCAAATTTACAGGTCCAGGCCCATTTCTCTTTAGGTTAGTAGTTTCACTACTACTATTCTCGATGTCCCTGTGACCAAAAGTCTTGGAGATGGCATTTTCTTTCCCTTCTATATTTGAGTAGCCCGAGGTATATGCTGACCCCCTGGACTTGGTGAAGTAACCTTCATCTGAAGACATCTTATGCCTATCTGCCTCCCTATTATTTTGGTGTTCTCGATGAGATGGTCTATGACTAGCCACATGCTCCACATTTTCCATTTCCATATCAACTATCATATTTTCAGGAAGTTGACCCTCATCTTGCACCACTGCAATGATAGAAAAGCAAAATTGCTGAATCACTTCTCCTTTTTGATGAAAATCTTTCTCTTTCCACTGTTTCGAACTAGGCTGCTCTCTTCTGCCATCCTTCCATCTCGAAAAATGAGGCTTGTACTTGTTTAGTGCTAGCATCCAGGAACCAAGGATCTCATCGTCGTCGGTCGATTTCTTATCTACCTTTACCACCGGTGAGTTTTGGATCTAGTTTTCACCATCAGATGTATGCTGCATGTCATCGTGTTCACACTGCCAAAGACAGACTTCTTGTCGATGACCATACCGACCACATTCAAAACATATAAGCCCAATCCCTTCATACTAAATCTTGTAAATCGTGTTCCCAAATATTACTTTTGGAACTAATTTCTTTTGAAGATCAATCTCCACACAGACTCGTGCGTGCTTACATCTTTTAACCTTATCCCACCTGTTCGCCTCTATTCTGACCTCATGAAGAGTATTCATGTCGACTTTTAGCGTTCTTCCCACACGATCACCTAACCTCCAAACAAATTTTTTGTTGTAACAGTGCATATTTACATTCGGAATCCTAATCCAGATGGCCATGCGTCCCACAGCATTGTTATATGCATCAAAAAAGGGATCCCACTGCTGGACGACAACACAGTTCTGATGTATTATCCCACTGCTGGACGACAACACAGTTCTGATGTATTGTCCATGGTCCTTCAAAAACCACCTTTTGATATTGAGCCTTCTCACCATCAGTGAACTGGATAGTGAAGTAGTTATTAGGCAAGTCAATAATCTCAAACTCAGGAATTCCCCAGATTCTACGTAGCCAACTTTTCATGGTAGGCAGTGTCATTTTCTTTCCCAAAATAGTTACTATCGGAGCGTACTTCCAAGGTCTACACCATTCTTGAAACTTATCATTAGTTGCAGGAATTACAGGGTAGATTTTCATCATTTCTTTTATCTCTTCTGTTGGTTCGGGTAATTTCCATGGGATATGATCATCATCTTCGAAGATGTCATCTTCTTCTAATACTCGAGAACCATTTGTGACGCCATTAAAGCCCAAAAGAGAATTTTGGTACGATACTTAGGGCTTAGGTGCACTTAAGTCCTTACCTGACGCAGTTTCTGCAATGGTTTCCTGAATCTGATCAGCTTCTTCTTCCCCCACACCTTCCATCTGTTCATCCATGGTCGCGTCATCTGCAATGGGTTGGTTCATCGATCCAGAATGGCTATTCTTTTTTTTTTTCCTTCCCACTTCCAGGCTGTAAAGCATCTGCGAGGCAATCCGAAGGTTGTTTCCGATGACCATTAACGTCGGAGTTCATGGGAGTTTCTTTGGCAGAAGAGAGTGAAAAATCCAAGTTATTCTATAGATCTATAGATCTTGATAAAAGGCCTTACTAGCAATATTTTAAGACCCGGACTGACCCGGACAGTTGGACTATCGCCCGCTGAAGAAAACAGGCTGGTTCAACTAGTTAACCCGTATTAGCAGTTGGCCTGGGTTGGACTGCCTAGAACTGGACAGTTTTTAAAAACCAGGGAAAAACCCGAAACTCGGAGCGGGTTTTGCAAGTCAAAAGCGGATCGCAAAAAAAAAACAATAAAATTGGTATTTTGAAAAATAAAAAACCCTTCTCCTCACTCTGTCCAGTAGACCAACACCTATAAGGACCCATTCTTCTTCTTTTCAATCTCATTTCTCTCTGTCTCGCATGGTGCACACACTCGTTCTCGTCACCTTCTCAAATCTTAGCCATCTGGGTTTGTTCTATGTGTCTTCTCCCTCAAGCCACTCAGCCATTTGGGCTCTTTCTTCATCATCTTCGCCATTCAGCCATCTTAGACACACCTTCTCAACTATTTGGGTTCTATGTTCACCTTTTGTTGTTGTCACACCCCAAAATAGAGGGTGACCAGCACGAGTATGAGTCACTTACACATTCCCGTAAACCTTAAAATAAACATTGATTTCATTTTACAAAAGAAAGGAACAAAATTTAATCAAATCCTATGAGAATTAAAATAACTTATTAGATTCAATATCATAAAAGAGTATCGATATTTTTGTAGAAATTTCGGCAGAACCTCCCCTGTACCTAGGATCTTCCGGAAATTCTACAACAAAATTCTGACAGATAACAGTATAAATCAGGAGCGTAGGTCCTTCCAGCCAACAACCCATATACAGATCAAAAAAATAAAGTTTATCAACAACCTTTGTGGAGCATCTATTCTTTCTCTCAAATCAAAAGGACATACAAATTATATATTTACATAAAGACAATAATACCAATCAAAATATCTACCCACTATAGCTAGTTGCCCTTTTTGAGGTCGCTGGTAGAATCGGCGTCAGCTAACCAATTTGAAGCCAAATAATTTTTTCAGTGAATAGCATTCCCATGATAAAATTCTTAAAATTTAAATTGACAGTCTCTAATAATGGTGTCAAATAATTGAAAGTAATTCCACCAAAATTATAAGCATATAAATCATAATCATATTTGAAAAATAAGAATAAGTAGAGAACAATTTATTTTATCATGCTTAAAGAAACCATTTGCTCTCATATAACTCAAAGTGATGCAAATTACGAGTCAACACCGGATAAATTTCAGAAACACATATTAATCAACATTTAAAATTTTGAGAACTCAATAGAACAGGTTACAAACGTGAACACTCAGTCCACGAGGGTAAATGACCAAATGCGGCTTATGCCACAAAAACAAACGTGGACATACCAGTCCACGAGGGTAAGTAACCAAATGCAGCCGGAGCTACGAATCAAACGTGGACACACAGCCCACGAGGGTAAGTAACCAAACGTGGCTCAGGCCACGAAATCAAATGCGGGTACAAAGCCCACGAATACCAAACGTGAGAATAAAACTCACGAAACAAACTAGCTAGTGTTTAGCCACAGCGCGCTACGGGCTAACGGAACTGCCGTTAGCAACAGTGTTCTGTATAGAGTTCTCTTAGAAATCCCGTTTCAACATGCGAGAGAAATGATTATTTTGAATTTAAATTGTCATTCTCAAAATCAAACTTGCATGAATTGTGCCAAATCTCAACGTTTGTCAAAATCATAAATTTGTATTAATCGAGTATCCAATAAATTTCAAAGTTTAACAACCATACAAGAATACTTCCATCAAACTTGGAAATATCTTTGTAAGAATCAATGAATGCATATATCATAACTCATTTGTCTTTCACTGATATCTCATAATTTTCATAATTAATATAGTTCATAAGAAAAATATTTCAGGAAGAGGCTATTAAAATAAAGATAAAATATTAAATGGAATGCTATTCACTTACTCGTCGGAGCTTCAAAATTTTTAACGATATCCTTTCTTTCAATTTTGGTCAGGTTCCCTTTCTTCTGCGCACCCTATTAGAATATAAATAAATAAATAAATTTGTCCTGGGTATTTTACCAAACAACATACATACATAATTGCCTAAGTTGATGTTAATATTTTCCTTCCTAAATTTTCAGTTTCATTGAGACCTTGCAATATCCTCTAATTCCATAATTTCTAATTAGAATCTCAATCTACAATATCATCTTACTTCCTTGCATAACCACAATATTCATTTAAATAGAAATTCCTCCTCTCTTCTTCTCTCTTTTTTTTTATGCATGTACGCACATTCACAAAGGGAATAAATTTTGAAATCCCAGTCCTCAACTCACATATATCATATATTATCTCCAAGTTAGATGAATTTCTAGCTCAAATTTCAGTCTTCTTCTTCCTACGTAACAGCATGAGTGATGACAGAACAATGTGAGGTTGCCATGATTACATATACCAAACAGTAACAGTAGCACGTACAACTTTACTTCTGCATTTCACGTATACGTACAGCACACATGTCCTTATCTCTTACTCTCACGACATAGTGGATTAACAATAAGAGAGTTTAAAATTTCTCACCTTCTCAACCCAGATGGCAGCGGACAACAAAGGAGAGAGAAGAAGAAAATGAAGATTACAGCAGAACAGGGAAGCAAAAAACTGGGCACTACTCGCAAGGAAACACAGGAAATGAATCAGCAACAATAATCCACATTCATAACAGCACTGCCGCAGCTCTGGCAACTTGGTTTCTCATCCCAGCTGTTACTCGAAGATGACACCACAGATAGAACCAAAGCATAAAACGAAGAGGAAAAACAGAGACAAAGAACATGAAAGACAGCCGAAACAATCAGTGCAGCACAAGTCTCCAACTCTTTCCAACGATAATCACTAGTGATAATAAAGAGAAGGAAGATCTAAATACTCACACATGCACCTGGATAAAGAAGGGAGAAAAAGCTCGGTAATCTAAAATAAATAAAGAAAAACAGAGTACAAAGATCACGTGTTGACTGACCAACGACAAATGGAGTAGAGGCAAGCGTACCGACAATAATAACAGCTAAAACTGAAGAGAAGCAGCAACGATTCAAGGAGGAAGAAGGAGAAGGTTTAGCGTGCTCTTTTATAACACCCAGAACAGAGGAGGAGGCGAGTTGCAGCTC